GATAATAAATGGTAAATTACTGTTCAACCATTACTGCCCCATCTACTCTGATGCTTTATGTTGCTATTTTATATTTATTTTATCTCTGTGTTTTCTTTGGTTCCTTTTATGTTTTTAACATTGAGTATCAGGAGTCAACCAATGCCACAGAGCTTATTAAAAGGTAAGTGTAAGATATGGACGAAATGCATTTAAAGGCAAAAATATTCACACAGAGCAAAGAAATTGTCACAATAATTTTTATAACTTTGTTTACTTTTTCTATAATTAATCTAATTTAATTGCCTAGTTTGACCTATAGTTAAGATTTTAAATTGCACTTTCAACTGAATATTAGTATTTTGCTAAATAACTAGTAAAAATGTGTTATTAAAAAAAAAAAAAAAAAAAAAAATATATATATATATATATATATATATATATATATATATATATATATATATATATATATATATCTTAAACAACAAGCACATACATTTTTGCAGAGACTCAATGAATTTGTCTGGAAAACTGGCAAGTAAAAGTGCCATTAACAGTATAAAGGCTTTCCTAAATAAATGTATAAATCATGATATTTGTTGTGTTTTTTATTATTTTTACTACAGATTTGGAACGACATGAGAATCAGATTATTTATTTATTTATTTTTTCTATGGATGGAGTTTATATTATAGTATATTTTTATTGTTTTTATTAAACGATATGTGCATAACTGTGATAAATGTAGGCAGTTGCTTTGAAAATATGCTATGTACCAATGGTGTCAAACTCCTGGAAGGCCACAGCCTAGTAGAATTTAGTTCCAGCCCTGCTTCAACACACTACCTTTAGATTTAGTTTGATCAGGTGTGTTTAATTAGTATATCTGCACTGTTACTCTGTAGATTGTGCAGTAAATAACTGTAAAAAACAATTATTTAGGCATCACCACACACTCCCACAGGCTGTCCGTCTTATTCTAAACACAAAGGTGTTAGAAAGAGTTTTCAGAAAATGCTGGCCCTTTAAGAGAGCCAGGTGTTTGATTTGTTTACTGCTGAGTGTGCTCTATTCTCTGTCTATCAATTCAGATGTTGAGTCTGATATGTTTTAGGCTTTAAATAAGAATCTTAAATGAGAAAGTAAAATGTGTTCAAATGTTTTTGAGGGTTTATAAAATAAGGCTGTGTACTTGAAAGCTACATTGTTAGCTAGTTAGCCTTTCCTCATATAACTTTTTACATTACTTTTGTTTAAGTATATGTATTTATTGGATATTGCATACTGCCATAATATACAGATGCTAACAGTTGTATGTATCTTTCTGGCAACTAAGCCAAAATTAAATTCCATTATCTCAGTAAGGTAACATGTGCACATCATCACAGGGAATCACAAAAACATGATACACATAGCCATCCACACACAAAAGCTCCACTGTCCGGTCCCAGGTTGTGAGTTTGTTGCTAAGTATTTTTCAGAGCTGTGTTTCCACCTATGAATTTATATTTGAAACAATAAAAAAGTTTGTTGTCATGAGATAATTATAACAATAAAAGATTGGATCCTTTGGTTTTTCGGTGTTGCCAACTTTATTTGTTTTCTATAATTATTTTAAACTTTTTGAGATTTGACACAGCTTTTAATTATTTAAAACTTTAAAATTTAAAATAATTATTTTGTTTTTTGCTGTTCAGTTTTTTTTTTTTTTTTTTTTTTGCATGGTCAGCATTGAGGAGAGAGTAACACATTTCACTGCAGCACTTTGTGTGTGTGTGTTTGTGTGTTTATTGGATATGTGATTGTGATAAATGTTAGCAGTTGCTTTAAAAGTATGCTATATACCAGGGGTTCTTAATCCTGTTCCTGGAGATCCATATCAAACACACCTAAACCAATTAATTAGGACCTGAACACCACGTGATAATTACAGGCAGGTGTGTTTGATATGGGTAGCAACTGAAATCTGCAGGAACGTAGATCTCCAGGAACAGGATTAAGCACCCCTGCTATATACCATGGGGGTCAAACTCCAAGTTACTGGAGAACTGCAGGGCAGCAGAGTTTAGTTCCCACCCTTCTTCAACATTACCTGTAGATTTCTAACAAGCCTTAATTAGTTTTATCAGGTGTGTTTAATTAGAGTTACAGCTTAAAGTCCCAGTCACACTGCACTTTTCTCCCTTTAGACTTCCATTCATACGCATGTGAATGCTGCAGACCTGGAATGCATGCTCATGCGACAAATTTTACAGTTTGCAGCATTGGAAAGTTCAAGCTTGGAGAACTCTGAACTGCAAAATCACATCATGTGATTGCTTGAGACTAATCAAAGATTAAACCATGACCTCTCTGAACAAAAATTATGGACCAGTTGCTTGCTTTTTCAATCTCTAAATATTTTGTTTAATCCCACTCCTTTTCGCAGTGCCATGTGACAGAATTGTGCATGCTTAAACGTTAGTTTGACTGCAGCCTTTCTGTGCAGACCTGGGGCTCTCAGTAATATGCAAGATGATATTTATATCTGCTGATTTCTTAATTTTGTTATACATTTTCTGTTTTATATTTGTTTGCTGCCAAAACAATAAAATAAATTTGTCAGAATTTACAACTTAATTTAAAGAATTAATAACAGGTAAAAATACTAATTAATTTTAGTAACACCTTGACATACTATTGTGTATGCAGTATAATGCTGTGAGTTGTAACACTACAGTACAGTAATTAACTGTACACAGTTTCCAGTTAGTTACCACTACTGCTCTATTACAGTGATTAACTGGCAACACTGTTGCCAGCTACTCACTGCAATGGTTCAGTTACAGTAAACAACTGGCAACACTGTTGCCAGCCACTCACTGTAATGGTTCAGTTTCAGTAATTAACTGGCAACACTGTTGCCAGTTACTTACTGTAACCAAACTTTTACAGTGAGTAGCTGGCAACAGTGTTGCCAGTGTTCTTCTGTAAAAAAGCCTGGTAAGGTCTAACAGTGTAATGCATAATTAACATCCAAGTCCATGCTTGTTAACATTGGTTAATGCACCATGAGTTAACATGAATTAACAATGAACAACTGTATTTTCATTAACTAACGTTAACTAGCATGAACAAATACAGTAGTAAATGTATTTAAAAAAAAAGTGCAGCAGACAAAACAATGAGAATAATAATACAGAAAACATTACTATAATAATGATAATATACAAAAAAAATAGTAAGAACTCAAAGAATAAAATGTATAATAAAAAATTTAAATAAAATTTATGTCAATAACAACTTTTTATTGCATTAAATTACAGGCTAAAAACATAGTGTTTACAAAAATGAATATCTGCACATATATAAGCATGATAACCAGTGCCTTAATTGACCAAAACCATCTTCTGGGGCATTTAATTGCAAGTGTAGTAATTTTTTTTTTAATTAATTAATTAATTGGGGCTGGCTCAAGTCTCGTATATTAACACAGGGGAGGCGGCCTTTATGACTTATACTGAAGCCAGCGCCTAGGAGTGGCACGTGGCACACTTGATTCAGACACAACTGTCGGAATACGCCCTCTTGTATTACATACGTATGTCGCACAGAATTTTGTCACACATCATGAGAGAGAAGATGATTCTTGCAGTGTTCAAAATGAAGGAGTGCAAAAGGAAGAGCCCTTATTCATTGTGCGTTCACCATGGATGAATGGATGAATGAATGAAAGAATGAATACTAGAAACTCATATTATTATTCATTTATGAATAGGAATGTTTTTAATAGGCTTAACAACAAAAAACGACAACAAAAAATAACAACAAAAAAAAACTATTTTTCATCTCGCGTGCACAGACTTACACTAAGGACAACACTATAATATATCACATCCGGTCAGACAGTTGCATATGGTCTAGTCACAGGAGTTCAAATATTTTAACGGATCAGCAGCTTAACTCGGATTCGAATTTTCCACATACAGAGATGATCGGAACTCCGCGCAGCTTCCAGGCTACTCTCCATTGAAAATGAATGACTTCTGGTCTTTGAAATATATGTTGCATTCCAAATTCATAACCATCTCTCCACTCACAATCTGTTTGAGCAATTTCAGTCCGGCTTTCACCCTAACCACAGTACTGAGACTGCTCTTGTCAGAATAACTAATGAACTGTTAATGGCCGCAGACTCTGGTCTACTAACCATTCTTCATCTTATGGACCTTAGTGCAGTCTTTTAGCCCATTTCCCCTGAGTGATACGGTACAGTACGGTTCGGTTCAGTGCACTTTTATAGTAGTTCCTACAGTCAAAAGGTACCAAAAGATGAACTGTACCATACTACTTTTTGGGTAACCTTTACATATAATAACAAGTCATGGTTGACCTGAGCTCAAACAAACCTGGTCATCGTCTTGATGAACAGCCACAAAATCTGCTGTGTACTCTTTTTGTTTTAAGAGCTCGTCTAAAAGTTTCACTTTCTCCAGAAAGCTTGCATGCACTCGCCATGCATCTATATTTGAAATAACCAACTTCTTGAGTTCATGATAATAAAGAGCGCGTGATTATTGAAGTGCTTATGACATCCTTTCACTTATGGACAAACGTGAGAGTGAAGTGTAACCCCCGCTGGTCCTACACCATCCAACTTGCTCTGGGATCGAACCGGCGACATTCCACATGCGAGTCGGTTGCTCTCGCAAGGAGGCTAAAGACCATGCCCTCAAGCGTCTGTCACTAGAGCCGCTTTAGAGTTCAGAAGAGTCAGGTTAACCTGCATAGCACTTCACTTGTTGGCCTCCGCTACACTCACCCCCTATACCTCACTCCCATCTGGGTCACATGAAAAAAGTTTTTATTTCCATAAAAAAAATTGCAAATGTTTCAATGATAAAAAAGTGTGATAAATTGTATCATCTTTGCTATCACAGATGTTGTAACTAAGAATATTCAAACAGAAATATTCAGCCTATTTAGATTTATAAAAAAATAAAATGTATGACCATATTAGGTTCCGACCATATTTTACTTACATGTTTGAAGTTGCGGAAGGGCACAAACTGCACAATGTCCCTCAGGACCGGTTCTCCTTTTGGAGAGCGGAGGATTCCATCATCGCCATCCAGCATCTGCATGTCACTGAAGTCTGCGCTTCCTATGCCGACGATGATGACGGACATGGGCAGGTGTGACGCATGAACAATCGCCTCTCGTGTGTCTGCCATATCTGTGATCACTCCATCCGTCAGGATCAGCAGTATGAAGTATTCCTAGGTAATTAGGAAAACAATCGAGACTCTAAAATCTCTATTGTAACAAGCAAAATTGTATTATTTATTGTTTAATATTATTTAATAACATTATTTATATTATTTTGAGTGTACTCTAACCTTTCTTAATTTGACAATAGAAGAATAATCCTGATTATGATTTATATTGTGCTTGTTTATAAAACTGTGTTTTTTCTCTCTCACACTAACCATGGCTTCTTTGGTGTGCATCTCCTCGGAAGCAGAGTTTGCAACTTTCTGGATGATTGGAGCAATATTAGTGGGGCCATATAACTGGATTTTCGGGAGGCAATTCTGATAAGCCTCAATGACACCTTGAACACCTGCAAAACACACATATAGTTCATCAGGTCATCTGCAAAAGAGACACTCTATTCTATTCTCGACTGTTTTTATTTGAAACTTTTCCTAAAGTGTTAGTTTACCCAAAAATGAAAATATTGTTATTAATGTAGTGAATTAGCTCAAAGTCAATTGAAAATTCATTTGAACAGGGCTTCAAAAGACTCGACTCTTTAATTCCAAACAAGTCAATCGTCTGGTGATCGTTTGAACAGAAAGTTGACTTTAATTACAGCTATTGCTATCAAAAATAAAACATTTATGTTTACTTAAAATATTTTAAAATACTTTGTTGACTAATCTAACAGAAACTAGCACAAACACAAATTCATACCAGTTGTAGAGAAGAGTAAAGGAAGAAAAATAAGAGTTTGAGAAAATTTAATGATGAAAAAAAAACTCAGATTTTGTATGACCAAATAAAGCGAACCGAAAATAATCAATTTAACCCATCTATGGTTTCCTTAGGGTTACATTTAGTTTACACCAGTTCAGTGGTAACCTGCAGGTGCTACTTGTGTTCCTTTTGTAATGGGAAAAACTCCTTCTATTGAGCGGAGGTAACCATGTTGTCACCGACTTGGTCCCAGTCATTCCCCTCGCTGGCCAGCAGAGGTCACCATCACCGGACTTCTAACCATTACGTCATGCTCATACACTGATTGCTACACACACCTGCAGCACATCATACTGATAATCCTTGCACACGCTTATAAGCTGCTCACACACTCAGTCCTGTGCGAAGTCTAGTTCTGCCCTGTTTGACATTACTGAGCGTTATCTCCTTGCCTGATCTCCCGCGTATTACCTGGACTGAATATCTACCTTGCCTTGCCTGCCACCTGCCTCGAACCTTGCTTGTACCCTTAATTTTGATCCACGTCGCCTGCCCTGAACTCAGCCTGATATCTCACCTCTGAACCACGCCGCCTGCCTCTGACCCATGCCTGTTATCACACTCCTTGACAGCCAGCCGCCTGCCCATAGACCCATACTAACTACGTTTGATGTGAGTATGCACGCAGTCTCTGGACAAGCTCATCGAACTTTCTATCAGGTTGGACAATTTACTCTGTACACGAAGGCCTTATCGTTCTGTTTCCCTGTGTCCAGTAACCACTGAAACCCCCACAGCTCTATGCCCCGCTGAACCCATGCAACTGGGTAGGACCCAGCTATTGCGTGAAGAACGTGAGAGAAGTTTAAAGAATAATCTATGCCTGTATTGCGGTCTATTGGGTCCAGGCCCGGATCAAGAACTCAGGGGCCCCTGGGCACATTATCTTGTAAGGCCCCCTACCTGGCCGCACCCGTATAGTTGAATTTAAAAAATAGGAATAATATAATAATTTTTAAATAAAATGAATCTATAATTTGTTGCCCACATATTTAAATAAATTATATATAGTACATATGCATTTATAGTCTACAAAGATTTAAATTATTTTCAAAGCATTAAAAAAAATACTAATAAAACTATAAAACTATATATATATATATATATATATATATATATATATATATATATATATATATATATATATATATATATATATATATATATATAATTTTTTTTTTTTTTTTTTTTTTTTAAAGGGTATTTTAATGTATTGCTTTTACAAACTTATAAAGCATATTGTTGCCATGGCATATAATGCACAATGCTTCTCCAATCCAGTTCTATGAATCTGAGTTCTATGAATCTGAGTCTTTCATAATACAAACACTGATTTACTGTCTCTCTCCTCCTCTCCCTGTATTTTCTCTACTCTTCTCGTGATGAAGACTTGATTATAAACCTAAAAGTATCCGAAATCACACACACTATACCTCTTCTCTCCCGTCTCTCTCCTCTTCTGGGCCTTTCTCTTTCTCTCTCTCTCTCTCTCTCTCTCCCTCTCTCTCCTTTTCTGTCTGTCTCTCACATGATGAATCCAGTCCGTGCTGCGCTGCCGTTAGCCTCCTTCGCCTGGTTAATGCTAGCTAACGTTACTCATCATTTAAAGTTACCATAACGTCTTCTTCTGTACCCTCATTCTCCTGATCACGGGTCTGTTTAAAGATAATGTGTATGGAAAATGCCTCAATAAAGATGCCTTCTCTCCTCTTTCTGTCGCGTTTGCTAAATCCACTTGTCCACTCATTTTTGATCTATGACAGATATAACGTTACACTAAAGTCCGCTCAGTTCAGTGCGGGTTATTACAAAACTGACGTTTCCGCACTTGACCAATTACAGCATTCTGTTTAGTTAAAGAAAGAAAGGCAGTTTAAATACAATAATAATATTAATATGTGATCGCGATTTTTTTGCTCAGAGGAAATACAGTTGTCTGAGCAATATAGTTTTTGAAGAGAGGGAGGCGCGGCAGGCGCCTATAATAAGGCTAAACATTATTAAATACCCACGAGACACTTGTGACTTTATATCACATTTGCATTATTTAAAAAAAAAATTTCTTTCCTGTTAAAAATAAATATATTTCCAATCTGATATGTAATGGGGAGAAAAAAAGTAGCACGAGTTCAGCTGATGGTGGATTCGAACCAATGTTATGATTAATCGCGTCAAAAGATGATGCTGTGCGCCTTACAAGGTGCGCCACTGCTGCTGTATTATTTTATAGCTCTTTACTTATCTTATCTCTATCAATCAGGCATCGATGGGCGTAAACCCTGAATAGCTTAGTCCAACTAGATGCGCTATTTGCAATTAGCCTAAACAGACACTGCGAATTTGTCTTTTTTTCTCCCCCCTCGCAGGGGCCCCTAGTGCGCACAGGCCCCATCTTTTCCAAACAAAATAACACGTTAACTGTACCCATTTGTCTGAGTTATGAAAATGTTTTGATTCATACTGTCGCTATGGTCAATTCAGGAGCTGCAGGCAATTTTATGGATTACACGTTTGCCAGTAACAACTCCATTCCACTAACTTCCTGTGATTCCCCTTTAGCAATCACGGCGATAGACGGACGCCTGCTAGGGGATGGAAATATTACTTACCGCACTCTGCAACTCTCTGTTTATAACAGGCTCTCTCCATGAAGAACAACTCATGTTTCTGGTCACTAATTCTCCTCAACACGGCATCATTCCTGGTGAGATTACTGGTGATTTATGTCTTGATAAATGCTTGCGATCTATTGTCCCTGTCCAGCTCAACGCTATTGTTACCTGTCCCGATGACCCCAAGAATAATCAGATCCCCGAAGTATACCAAGATCTTTCTGAGGCATTTAGCAAGCAAAAAGCCACCAAGCTTCCCCCTCACCGTGAGTATGACTGTGCCATTGAATTATTACCTGGTACAACGCCCCCTCGTGGGAGAATCTTTCCTCTTTCTCAGACTGAAACAGAGACCATGAATGCTTACATAAAGGAGGAATTGGAGAAGGGATTCATCCGCCCATCAACATCACCCGCATCAGCTGGCTTCTTCTTCGTAGAGAAGAAAGATGGAAGTTTACGTCCTTGTATCGATTACAGAGGCTTGAATGATATCACTGTAAAGAACCGTTACCCCTTGCCATTGGTCCCAGCAGCCCTTGAACAGTTACGCTCAGCCCGGTATTTCACCAAGCTTGATCTTCGCAGTGCTTATAACCTCATCCGAATTAAACAAGGAGACGAATGTAAGACTGGGTATTCTACTGTAAATGGCCACTATGAATACTTGGGTATGCCCTGCAGCCTAGCAAACAGTCCTTCCGTCTTCCAGGATTTCATTAATGAAGTGTTTCGAAATATGCTGAATCAATGGGTCATTGTGTACATTGACAACACCCTCATCTACTCCAATTCCTTACAGGAACACATTAACCATGTCAAAATGAAAATTTTAATAAGCTCCACCCTTGCCCCTTCTACTCCTGCAAGCTAACTTCGGCTGAAAGAAACTACGATGTAGGAAACTGTGAGATCTTAGCCATGAAAGCAGCAATGGAGGAGTGGAGGCATGCTAGAAGGAGCCAAACATCCATTTGTAGTGATTACTGACCACAAGAACCTGGAATATATTCGCTCAGCCAAGACTAAACCCCAGGCAGGCCAGATGGGTGCTGTTCTTCACTCGTTTGGACTTCACAGTCACGTATATCCCCGGATTCAGAAATGTCAAGGCTGATGCTCTCTCCCACCTCTCTGATGAAGAAGTACTGACTGTGGATAAACAACCGGTACTTAAGGAATCCATTGTCTTGGCCCCCATCAGATGGGATATTGATACTGAAATCACCCAAGCTTTGTTGCATAACCCCACACCTCCGGCGTGCCCCGAAAACAAGATCTTTGTTCCCCTGTCTCTAAGAGAGAAACTTATCTCAGAAGTTCATGGCAATCCCAGCTCCGGACACCCAGGTATCACTGCCACTATAGAGCTGATTCAGAACCGATACTGGTGGCTCTCAGTTAACAAAGACGTCATCAAAGTTATCAAGAATTGTGCACTATGTCACATGAACAAACCTTCTCGTCATCGTCCCGCTGGTCTGCTACAACCCCTGGAAATCCCACGTCGTCTCTGGTCACATATTGCCATAGACTTCATTAACGATCTTCCCGCATCCCAAGGCCACACCACCATACTCACCGTCGTTGATAGATTTTCCAAGTCATGCAGATTGATTCCCATTCCCAAATTACCCACAGCCCTAGAAACAGCAGAATTGCTCTGCAATTATGTTTTCCGTTATTATGGTTTACCTGAAGACATTGTGTTCGACAGAGGTCCCCAGTTTACCTCCCGCTTATGGTCTGCCTTCTTCAAAAACCTGCAAGTCTACATCAGTCTCACCTCCGGTTACCACCCACAGTCCAACGACCAGACCGTACGTCTCATTCAGGAGATTGGACGATTCCTTCACACTTACTGCCATGCCAATCAAGAAGAGTGGAGTCGGTATCTAATGTGGGCGGAATATGCACAAAATTCCCTGAGAAAAGCATCCACTGGACTTACCCCCTTCCAATGTGTACTAGG